ATTGTGTTAGGTTTTTTTTTTGAAAAAAAATGCAAAAAACTTGTTTGTGAAAATAATACAATATGATTTCAAGCGATTGCAATAGCCAATACAATATATTATAATAAGTGTACTGTTCTAATAGTAATAATTGTGATATAATAAAAAAAATTGTAACACCAACAGCTATGCAGCACTATATTAGTAGTAGTATATATATTATAATAAAATAATAATAATAAACAACAACAGCTTTCGTGATGATGAATTGCCAGCACAGTTGTTGTAATTCTGAATAATGGATAAGCGATCAATCCTACACTAATATTGTATACATATAATTATTATTGTAGGATGTTGTGACGTTTTTTTTTTCTTTTTTTTTTTTTTTTACTCAATATTATTAAGTAATAAAAAAGGAGAGCCGCCGGCACGCCCTTTGATTCTCCGTCGCTTTACACGTCTTATCGCATCGATTATTATTAACTAACTATATATATATATATATATATATACACACACCGGTGTATAATACACACATATAAACATACAGCCCATGGTCGGTTGTCCTTTACCCAAGTTTGTTTGCCAATCTTACAGCGTTCGCGATATTAAAAGTACACTGTCTACAAAGGGCGGCGTGACAATAGACCTTTTTCGAAATAACCCACCGTCAGTGTTACCAACCCGGCCGTGACCGAAGTCTACCAAAGGCACGATGATATTATTAATTATTATTATACAATGGCAAGCCCTGTGTATTGTCACCGCGCAAAGAGATGAGCCGACATCTTATACCTACAAGCTTGTTCGGCATAGGGAAGTAAACAAGTTAGGACTCTAAACCCAGTGTGGCCATACAAAAGAAAAAAAATTGTCTTCATTGTCGAGCTGTTGGTACTCTCTATAATATGAAATAAAAACCGCTTTTTACCGCTTTTCTAAAGAATATTATTGTTAAAGATACTGTTATCATTGATATCTTATCACAACGGTATTTGTTTTACTTTTAACGAGGCCTACTGACTTTGGTCCTTTTGTGTTTGCTGATAAATGTGACAAATAAACAGGTGGACATGTGTGGAGGGAATAAAGCAATATTATGATGGATAGCGATTTGTGGAGGAAGCGAATCACGCTGGCTGACCCGATTTGTTAGGGATAGGAAGAAGAAGAAAATTGTGGACCATATACTGGAGGCATTCATGTCTACATATACCAAGGATTTCGTTGACAGGCAAGTAGTTTTAACTGTTATCTAACACTCTAGGGGTATAATTAAACAAATTTAACATAATACACACATTTGCGCTGTTTAACTAAACACACATGCCCTCGACTACACACCGGCCATTACAGGTCGAGACAACAATAAAGCAAACAGCAACCGTGTATAGTGTACAATTAATATGACAACCGAGGAGCTGTTACACGCAGCAAGTGGACACAGTCAAAGCTCAGATGTGATCTAAACTACCGTTTAGTTGAGAATGTACTTTTGCACTACCTGTGTGGGTCAAAGGTAGGCTATCATGACTAACAACGTTTATTATTATAATACATATGGGTGGCGGCTGGCAGCACATCAAAATTCGGTCGAACCATACTGTAATTTACTAATATGCCAGTTTTTTTTTTTGGTAAACAAAAAAGTAAAAACAGAAATTAGGTTACCATCACTATGAAAGTATTTTTTCTCTGGCCCCAAACGTTTTCTGGTTAATTAGCATTAGCTGCGCTGAACGGCCAAACTCTACAAGCTTCTAAATGAGTCCACGAAAAGGCATAGAGATCATCGATTGGACACTAAGACAAACGGTCGATATCAACAAGATCTTCTGCAGGTTTTCATCTGGGATATGTATTAAGACTCGGGCTAGGTCGAGCCAAGGCCTGAGAGCTTAGGGTGGTACAAAAACATTACTGTTGTAACGAACCTACTCGGCTAGCTGGCCGAGATTGGCAATGATCGATTAGAATAATCGCATGACAAACAAAATCCCTTTAAATCAGACTGCGAAGTTGGCATAGTTGGCTAAGTGTATGCTTGTAAATGGACTCGAATTGGTTTGTAATTTGTTCAAAGATGAAAAATTAAACACATTCAAACCTATTGTCGCCGGACACCTTGGATAAATGGCCAATTAAGTGATCATATTTTTTTGTTACAATTAACAGAATCGTTCGCATGCAGTTTTTCTCACACGCAGGCTCTTTATAGTGTTAAGCTGAACATGCCGGACGATCCTGGCCATCGCGTTCAAGGTTTTCGGATGTACACCGAAAATATTTCAACGTGTTTCCCTCGAAATGTATATAAATAATTTTACGAGTGTCCGTCTCGCGTGTGCCAAGTGTCGAAAATAAATCAACTCTCGTTGCGTTTTCCACACAATTTTTGGTCGTAAAAAAACCCCCCAAAAAAAAAAAAAAATATAATAACGCAATATTAAAAACAAAAAAAAAAAACATATGTAACGACAAACGCATCAAACGCGTACCCGCCACATTTGACGAACGCGGTAATTCGTTGTGTTTTGTTGTACGTACCCATTTTTCTGTTTTTACCTGAAACCGTTAAAAATAACTTTGGCCAGTGCCACGATGTTGTATAAATAGAGTGCACAAAACATGGACATTTCGAGTCCACGGTGAATTTGGCGTAGGTAACACATCTTTGCTCACTTTGAAATTAGCTTTGTTCCACGACGGACCACAACATCGGTTGAATTGAAGCCTGAAGGGTCCACGTTTTATCCGAAAATGGTTTAGCCCATAGTGGTAAATGGGAGCACAATGGATTTGTCAAAAATCGGCCTTGCCGACATTACTTTGAATAATTAACCCTCACCTCTGTCTGCGACCTGATAGATCTAATAATAATAATAATAATCATCTTTGATCCCATCCTCGAATCTTTGGTCTAGCTCGTGTGGGTTATTTACACTGTGTACGGTGGTCAACCTCTGTTTTTGGGTCGCATGTCGGGAAACGTCGTTCACTAGAGAGGTCCGTATCGAATGTTAAGCCATTTCTTCCACTCGTTTAGCCTGAACTACCGGTAAGGTAATTAGCCAAAAAGGAACAACATTGTATAAAGCCGAAAATTTCAACTGCCACAAAATGTACTTTTTTCTCTCAACATTACACTATAAGTTTATTTTTTAAACAGCCCAATTTTCATAGAATACTCTTTAAACGTACGTTGTGCTATCAGTCGACAGACCAATTAATTACTAAAAAACCCCTTTTCTCCAAAACGAAGGGCAAGTTGTTGTTTTTTGTTCAGCTTTTTTAGGTGCGTTCTGACAACTCGAGATCCTGACCTAGTTGTGAATTATTATCGCCTGACGATGATGATTATAAATCGCGCATTGAGTTGGTATTTGAAACCGACGAGGGTCCGAAAATTAATAACGGACGGCTTTTCTTTGCCCCGGTGTGGTTAAGTTGACCTATAGGTGTACCTACCCCGACTAGGAGGCGGCCAAGGGCGGCAAAAAAAAAACACCCCCTCCCCCGTCACTCCGTTGCTCGAAAAGGGTGTGTATATCATTAGGACAGGACGGGGCGTTATTGTATAATATAATATACTGTCTTGGCCTATATTTTTTTTTTTTGACGGGTTCTTGTCGCAGTAACAATGAAAAATACTTTACACACACACACACACATAAGGAATAGAGGGCATCATCGTTTTTAAACCGGCCACTCTTTCCGCATCGATCCACCGATCGAGTCGACACACTCGAATGTACAGGGTGTTTGCAAAACGTGCCTAAACGTCAACTTGCTGCTAAAGAGGTAGTTTTTTTTTAGGCGATCCGTGGTTCAGACGGGGTTTAAATAATAATATTTTGTTGGCGCCAGACGTTTATTTCACCGGTGGGCCAAAGCCAACAGCAATATGTTTTATACCAACATGGCATCGTCTGTACATTAATACAGGTAGGTATAGTATAATAATAATGTATTTGGCTTCCTCGACAACAATATTATTGTTTTATGGGAATTTTTACGTTTCTTAAATTACAGGCAAGGAAACCTCAAAGTATATTATACTGTTTGTGAATTGCTTCTTGTTCAAAAAATCGAGAATTGTCCCAGTGAAATTAATAAGAAAGTTAAAAGTATCCACACTGCATGCAGATACATCAGTCGTGTCCTGCAATCTACTATCTCTAATCCACTATCTCTATTAATTCGCCTCCATAATCCTCCTCTGTGGCACTTAACATGTCGCTCAAAACGTGGAGTATGGAGAAGAGTATTAAGAAATTATGGAGGTGAATTAATAGAGATAGTGGATTAATGATAGTAGATTGGAGAAAAGATATTAGAAATACTAGATTGCACGACAATATATCCATGTATTGATGGTTCTACATGAAGTGTGGATACTCTTAACTTTCTTATTTTAAACTGTTGGCCATATTTTTGGAATTGAAGTTTCTCAACTTTTGTCTCGTTTAAACGTAACGACGATGGTGGTGAAACCTTAAAGGAAAAAAAAAATAATCTTCTTTATTGACTCATTTCAACGCGTTCATTGTGAGTAGATAACAGAGAAAACAAATGGTTGATTCAGCTGTTGTAGTGGCATCGCATTTATTCATAACGCCGTCAATGTAGTTTATCTGTGTTGTTTGGCTACTGATAATTACACCTGCTTAGAACAAGGCGTACACGCGCCTCGTTTGCACACATTTCAAAGTAAATATTATGTTTTGTTTCGACAAAAAACACGTTGGGTTTAAACGCAAAGATTTAATATGTTACATAATATTATAAATCCATCGCCGTGCACACTTAACAGCAGCTGTTAAGTACGGATATTTTTTTTTTAACATTATAGTGGCACACACGGTAAAACGCTAAAACTATGTACAACATTATTGAAAAAAAAAAAAAAAATACATAATATAATTTATAACGTACAATTAACAAAATCATAAAGAGTTGCAATTAATTTAACAGTACTTTACACATGGTTTTGGGCAAGTTAAAATGAAAAATCCAGTTTAAAACTGGCCACAGGCGAGCGCGGCCGGCGACTTGACGGCGTTCAACAGTTTGGCCCCGGTGCCGTCCCAGTTGATCACGTTGGCCTGGGACGACAGCTGTTGGTGACAGCACATGAACGCCTGCCGGACGAACGCCGCGTTCACGCCGATGTCGCTCAGACTTTTGCTGACCATCTGCAGGTACCGCTTGGCGTTGGCCGACACGGCGTTGTCGACGGCGGCCGACACCAGGTCGTCGCCGGTGACGCGTTGGTCGGCCGCCGCGCACCGTTCGTCGTCCGTCTGCCGCGCCGACCGCTGCTTGTCGTCGTCGTCGTCCCTCTGGACGCCGTTGGCCGCGGTGACGGTGGCCACGGTGGTGGTGGTGGTGGTGGTGGAGACGGTGGTGGACGACGCCGGTGACGACGGTGAATCCGCCAAGTCGTCCGGAAGCGTCTGCGAGAATTTCACGTCGCTAATGGTGAACCGCGTCTCGCTGACGTCCACGACGGTGTCGTCCACCGTCCGTGTCTGGAAAAAGGTGTTCCGGATGAACTTGAAAAACGGTATGATGACGAACGTGAACAGGCGTTTCATGACGGCGAACGCTTTGCCCAGCCACTGGAACGGTGTCGGCGGGGCTGCCGTGCCGGCCGGGTCGTCCAGATCGTCGTAAACCGCTTGACGCCTGTTCTTGGGCGCCGCGCCGTCGGTCCGCACTCGTTTGACGACCCGCCGTTTACCGCCGCCGCCGCCGCCGCTGCTGGATTTGATGCCGCCCTCCGGCACGGTCAATGCCGGTGTCACCGCGGTGCCTGTCATGTACAGGCCGTACGCCTGGAATCGATTCCGGCACGCCGCGCCGTCGTCGCCCAGTATTCCGTTGCCTGTTCCCTGCAACTTCCACGCGGACACCGCCGTTGTCTGTTTACAAAAAAGAAATAAAAAAACAATCATAATAAATGATTTACGTTTAAAGCAGTGGTTCCCAAAGTAATTTTTCAAAAAACATTTTTTTTTAACTTGACAAGCAAATCAAGTACTCCGTTTATTGTTTTTAGAACTGGCAAAAAAAAAACAACCTCAAAATAAACCGTTGGGTATGATGCAAGTCTTGCAAATGTTTGGTACAACAATAATTGTGGATGTTATACCCGAATAAAGTCGACCCGAGTTTAAAAATATCAATTGTATCCACATTTCAATATTCCTCCTCCATAACCCCTCCATAATCCATAGTGATGTCAGCACTGTGTCACTTAATTATGAAGGATTATGGAGGGATTATGGAGGAGTATGTAGAAGTATTAAGGAATTATAGAGGATAATTATGGAGGTGAATTAAATGGAGATAGTGGATTAGAGATAATACGCCTCGAGGGCAAGAACATCATAAAAAATAGTGATAATTTATGCAACATACATATAATAGAGAAAAGATATTAGAGATACTAGATAACCAAATTTGGAATATATCACAATCATCATACAATATAAAACGACAAGAAGATAAGAGTACACTATATTATCATTACTATTAACTTGTATTAAATATATTTCACTGACGGTCTTAAGAGCCAATGGATGATATTTTCAGGCAATTTCCAATACAATCAAGCCGAGTGCACAAATTAAAATATATAATAAAGATATGTGTGTTTGTGTGAAGGAAAATTTGTATAAAATTTCGGTATTCAAATCTCAACAAAAACAGTATGACAGTATGGCGATTGTATTGAAAACGCGTCTCTTCTCTTACCTCTGTTAACAATGACGTGTGTGCGGTCCTTAAATAAAATACCTATTTATATTTTTAAAATAGGTTTACATTTTTTTAGTATCTCATTTAAAAGAATGAATTCAGTTCAGTTCCCTGTCGACCCTGTTGACGGATATGCATTTTTTTTATATTTTGCTTTGCAAAAAACAAATTGAATTAAATAAAAAAACCATTAACGCTCTTATAACGCGTGTTTCCACGTTTGCAAAAAAAACAACATAAATTCTAATATTAGCGAGAAACATTTGTTTATAATAAATTATTTTAAACGGGTATCTCCTGGTGATGTATAAAACGTTGTGTTTACGTTTCGGAAAGATTATAATAACGCTTAAATTAATCTTCGGGTTTTAATAAGAAAGCAAAAAAAAAAACTCATTTTTTATTTCTCTGCGGAATTTAGTTGGCAATGACCTAATAGCCGGCAGCAGCAGCAGCAGCAGCAGCAGTATAATCTATCTATTAGTCATAGAAGAGTTAATAAAAACTAATATTTTTGTGGGGAAAAAAAATATAATAATAATTTAAAATGAGCCGTTAAATTCGTTATTATTAATAACGTAACCGTGCTCGATTATTCTTGGCAACGGACGACCGTTTTAGAAAACCGCACACACACGTACTTAGGCTTTTTGGAGTTTCTTCGGGCTTAGAGTTGAGCATGACACATCGGTTAGGTGGATTATATAAGTAATATATTAACCTGACCGTGTCCGAGGCAAAAATGAAAAATATTGCAGTTGTCAGAGCAATAATAACTATTATAGTTAAGACACGGTGGACTTGCCCCACAGGATAGCCGCAGAAAAAAGCAGAAGGGTCACTATCGATGAAAACAAAAAAAGTGACGGCCATGTTGAAAGGGCATTACGTTGACCTTACCTTACTTGTTTTTTTTTATCTATTTAGTACTATCAGTTCGAAATATCGATATTGCGGTTTGTATACACACTATCAGCATGGAAGAAAAAAGGTCAAAATTTAAACCATCTCTTTATATCAAATTATCATGTATATTTATTTAAATTTGTTATAACTGTTAAACTGCTATTTATTATTATGTGGTTTATGAGCGTGCACTTTCTTTAAAGAAATGTGTACTGAAATCATGTGGGCTTGTTTCATTTTCCTGAAAATATCCTGTTCGGTAAGTAGTTTTTGTTATAACTATAAAACAATCATATCAGTCAACAGTTTTAAAATAAATATAAAATAGCTTTTTTCTTTATACTTTAAATGTCAAACCCGGTAAAAGAATTGTCCACTTGATACTGATAGTCTTAATCTAAAATATATTTCATTGTGTGGTAAACATTTTGAGGAAAATATACCTACATTTTTCATACTGAATTTATTGATTGTCATCACCAATATATGTATACATGTTTTACTAGAAATCATTTGATAACAATTTCTAGTAAAACGTGTTTTGTACAATAATTATTTCGTATCTAAAATTTAGTCACACTAAATTGAAGAGGGTTTTTGGCTTTAAATAACAGGAAGAGCACAATCTGGTTTTTATCCAATCCGTGTTGTCATTATGATAATGTACATTTTATTATCTTCTAGTGAATGGAATCGCAATCAATTTGCTCAGCACTATGCCGAAGACAAGACTATGGGAGTGGGCAAAAGGGGTAGTTTAGGGGCTTTATTTTGGACGTTGAACTGGCTTTAAACGGTATGCTAGTACGTAATAACAATGTACAGTATGGATGGAACGATATTGTTGTCACAGCAGATTGCAGCACAAAAATAAAAATCTATTTTTTAACACTTATCAAAATCAACTTTTTATAGTAATTTATTAAAATAACTAATTATTAACCGAACACTCTCCGAAAGCAGGCAAGTAAGTAAGTCGGTAAGCGCAAATATTGGTGTACGTTATTTATTTATTTCCTTTTTTTTTTTTTTATATTACAATAGCTAACTTAAGCTGTTAAGAATATAACATATATATATATATATATAAGTACAAGAAGGTTTGTTGTGACTTAATTTTCTGCTCTGTCGGCTCGACGGTCGTTCCGACATGAGCATATTTTATTATAATACATGTGTATATCTATATAATAATATTGTCATTTTGCTGTCGAGGGGTAACGCACGGCTACGGTCACGGTTGGCATACCGGCTCGAGGGGAAAGTTTTGTATTGTTTTGTCTTTGTATTTAAAACCGTTCGAGTTCGAGGGTTGTAAAAATCGAAATTAAATCCAATTTCTTTTGATTTTAGCTCTACAAACTAAGAGCAAAACAAAACAGCTTTCATAGTGATTTTGAAATTATTATAAAACATGTAAACGCACTTGTTTTAATCGACACTCATCAATGCGCTAATGATTTATTCAAATTTGGCGAACACTACTCCCCAACCCCTTGTGAGATGCCTGGCCTTGTAATTTCGGATGGCATTGCACAAAATGGGGATATTTTGTTTTTCTCGGTTGGCTACACTGCCGGATCAAACAAAGTCCGTTTGAAAGTGTTGTTATTGATCGATTCAAGCACTTTTAAAGGTAAATATTATTGCACTACATTAAACTTTTATAAAATAAATTGGTTACAATTTTAGTGTCAAAACTGATCAAGCTAGTTGAAATCAAATACCCAACCAAAACTGTTTTATTTCCACGAGGTTTGTCTTGGGAATTGCAGATTGACATTGGAAATTGGAATAATTGGACAGACATGTTTTTTTCCACGACAAGACTAAACTCTCAAGACCATTACCAGCTCTCTAGCAACAGTCCATTGTCAAAAAAGTCATCCGAAATCACGGTAAATACCGGTTTTTCAAAAGGTTCATCGTGGAATGGAAAAAATGAATTGTATATTTTTTGATTTTCACCGTTTTCTGCAATAGTGGTAGTAGTGAAAGCTTGTTAAAGAGCCAGGGTGCTAGAGCTAGGACTCGACACATCTGTTGTGTCAACTGAGCTCGGTTTTTTCTATTTTTTTTTTTTTCTAATGATAATAATTTATGGAAAAACGACGGACACGCTTGATTATAGAATAGCCTAAAGCTGGCGCCGAGGAGAGGACAAACGGATTAAAATATTTCAACGGTCGGCCAAAAAAAAAAAAATCGTATAACGAAAGTTTCTGGAGCGGTTCCAAGGAGCGGATATGATTTATTGTGTGTGTATATATTACATAAATAAAAAATAAAATATATATATATATATTATGTAGACATACATCACCGCACACACTCGACTAATACAGCGGATCAAACCGTTCGGAGTGACTGGCCGTCGACGGCAATTATATAATTAGGCACCGTGACGAAAGGTCAAGTATTTGGACTAACGCTAAAAGCTAAGACAAGAAAAAAAAAATCCCCAGGCTCTGTTGTTGTCTTTTTGCGGAATTTCGGTAAACCGCAAGACGTTGGGTTAGTATCAAATTTAAACGCGACCGCAATCATATCATTCATCGTTTCGCTAATTACAGAAATTTGCCATCTTTCAAACGACAGTCTCGTTGGAATAATTGTCGTAGGTCTACTATTGTAATACCACCACCGGCAAACGTTGAATGTGATTCAGAAGTTGCTGCTGTGATAATCTTGTAAAGAATCGTGTGTACACTTTGGTTTAAGATCATCTCATCTCACACTCAATCCCGCGCATCCTTCTCTATGTGATGCTATCTATTTCCAAACCGATAACCTTGTGACTCAATCTTTTAAAAACGATTTACCTACGATAATGGCCCGAATCGGTTAGGTCGGGAATTTAGCACAGAATATGATTTTTGCCAAAGAGCGACACGAAATTCAAAAATCGAGTTAGCGTTAGGTTTGTTTTAGGTTCGTTTAGGTTACATTCTGATTAGGCAGGTAAGGATAGGCAAGATTTAGGTTGGATCATGAACAGACAGGCAAGACTTGGGTTAGATTCTGATTAGATAGGCAAGATTCAGGTTGGATTTGGATAAGATAGGTGAGGTTACTTGGGCTGCTAGATATCAAACTTGTGGTTTTGACGGAAGACGGATAGCCGTACCTAAGTAAAAGCCCGTTGTAAGAGGAGAGGTCGAGAGTAGTGTTTGCCAATCGTGATGCGTTATTGTTTTAAATATTCCGGTGGTTATTATTATAGGCAAACGAACGCTAGTAGCTTCTAATTTGTAAC